GGGGTGATTGCCAGGTCAGTCTGGTGCTTGGGGCAATCCATCAACACGTGACTTTAAAACAACACAAACATAAGAAAAACAGTTGAACATATTTAGAAATGTGCGAGAGATTATCGGTGGATCAAAGTTCAAGTCAATAATGTTTAGCTGCAGTCTTTGTTAGGGAGGAGGAGGCAAGCAGCCCAGCTGAGGTGTAGTGTCTGAATTCATCTAACAAAGTTAAAACATGTTTCTCTTTCTGCTCTTCCTGGGGAAAAAACTGTTTTCTGAACTTATAGCATTAATAAAAAAATCATTTTTTTAGGAAGCACACGTCCTCTCAGTTTCACAAGTTAGCTCTGCTTCTTTCTCCTGCTTGGGTGAGAGACAGGAAGGTGATCGGAGATTGTTTACTTAAAGAGCAAGTAACGTCTAAATTAACTTTTTTTTGCTGATGAACTGTATAAATGAGTGTCTAATAGTGTTTTAAATGTGTGTATTCATTATTTTAGCATTTTGGTGCATTTTCTTTAAAAATTAATTTTTCAGCCTAAAAACCACAGTAATGCGCCACCTTCAGCTTAAAACACAGAATTTGACACATTTTGAATAAATTTTAGCCAATGGCTAAAGAGTAAGATACTACGTAAACCAGTAGAGTACTACGTAGCAGCTCTTGTGCCAAAGTTATAAAGCAACGAGAGTCTCGGCCACGCCCTGTGGCGAGTTGGGAGTTGGATTTGCAAGCGAGTGTAGGACGGTTAGCGGTAGTTCTGCATTAGCATATATCATTAGCATATTCTAGTCTTTAGCATAGCTTTTAGTGTTATACATACTTATTTAGTGTTAGCTTGGCTGTTAGATATTGTAGTTTAGTTAGTGTTTAGCTGTTAGTTTTATTAGGAAAGTAATTCAGGTTTAGTGTTCCATATCGTGTTAGTATGGTTAAAAGGTGTAGTGTAGTTGGTTGTGGTGGCTCTGTGGGGTTGCACTCCTTTCCACTGGACTTAGAAATTAGGCGCCAGTGGTTGCGCGCAATCGGTGTACTGGAAAACAGTCAGCTCCCGCCTGGTGCTGTAGTCTGCAACCAGCATTTTACCCGCGATTCCTTCGCCAACATGATGGAGTTTGAACTGGGTTATTCTGCACGTCTCCGTTTGAAGAGGGAGGCCGTGCCCACCGTGGCTCTTCCACGAATTAGATGCAGCCCACCGACTCTGCTCCCCCACCATGGCGGGCTCCAGTCTGAGGTGAGTAAGCTAAATAAAAGTTAGCATCTTCTAAAGACAATTTCCTACCTAAATGCAAAGTTTGAGAGACGTGGTTCACTCCATTTAGCTAATATCAGCCTGCACTGCCTTCGGGCTAATTTGTCAAGTTCACAAAATGTGGAACGGGATGTAAGGTTAGAATCAGCGGCGAATCGGAACATTTCTCAAAGCCCTGGCCGACAAAAAAGGTCCACTTGACTATTTCTGTCAGGCTCGGAGAAAATTCGGGTTGTTTTTGTGTCAGTCGGTAATTCAGCAACAGTGGCTCTAACGCAGCACTAGTTGACAGACATCATTACAGCGTGAAATCCAGCTTTACACCAAAGCCTAACCCGGTTCTGTGAGGAATTCTGTTCAGGAGGTCGCATTTCAGGTTCTTCACATCATATGTGACTGACTTTGACATTATAATAACGATCACACACTAGGAATGTTATAAAGCGCCTATATATATATATATATATATATATATATATATATATATATATATATATATATTATATATATATATATATATATATATATATTGGACAGTTTCTTTTGTATATTATATGACTTTATAAACTCCAACAACAATGTGCTTCTATTTTTTGTTTCAGGCTAAATCTACCCAAGACGTTGGCTGTCAGACTGATTTAGTAATCTGCAAAAATGCACTTGTCCAGGCTCATGTAAAGCCTTATCGACGTAGCAAAGGTGAATTATTTTTAATAATCTTCTATGTAAACATTTTATTATTACCTTCTAGTTTTAATTTGTTTTACAGATTATTGTTACACGTGATTTTATGCTATTTTAAACATTTATAAATGTGATGCTTCTTTGTATTTTACATAGCCACACAGTTTAGAGCTCCCAGCCGCAGTGTGTCTTGTGACACAGGGACCGTGACGGAAATTCATCTTCCACAAAGTCCCAGAGCTGCGTCCACACCCCTGAAAAGACCACGATATGAGGTGTCTGTTGTTGATCCCAGCTTCCACCTCAATGACAGTGCAAGCTCAGTGAACTGTTCAAGGTAAAAAAAAATTATAACATTTTAGAATTTTTTAGTTATGACCATATATATAAATGTATGTGTTCTATACAGCTCTTTCACTGAGGTCCATCCACAAAAGGACAAGAAGTACATTGTTCATGAGAAACAGTTGCTGGGGCTGTTCAGAAGGTGTCCCGTTTGTACCGGTCGTTGTGTTGTGAACACGACAACAGTCGGCACACTGCTCCGTGTGACACAACGGTGTTCATGCTGTGAGCACTACAATGAATGGTCCAGTCAGCCCATGGTGAACAGCATCCCAGCAGGAAACCTCCAGCTCTGTGCTGCTGTCCTTTTCACAGGCTCATCATTTAGCCAGATTTCTAAGGTATAGGCCAAAACTGTTTAGGTTAGTTTTGATAAGGTCTGTGCGTCTCTCATTTCATGTCGTAACTTTTCATATTTTAGTTCCTGGGTGCCTTCAATGTGCAGGGACTGTCCAAGCAGTCATTCTGTCGGCATCAGGCAAAGCTGTTAATTCCAACAGTGAGCTGGCAGTGGCAGCTAGAGCAAGCTGATATCATCCAGGAGGCTACTGAATCTGGACCTGTGACTCTTGGTGGTGACATGCGAGCTGATTCACCTGGTGAATACGTTTAAATTTATTTATTTTATTCCTTTGCTATCAAATGTAAATTAAGTAATAACTTGCATTTCTTGAAGGACACTCAGCCAAATATGGCAGCTACACCATGATGGATTTCAAAAGAAACAAAGTTATTGATATCCAACTTGTACAGGTACAACATTACCTGATGATTCCAAAACATTTAATGGTTAATTATTCACAGATCAATGGAGAATTATGTTTATTTTCAGAGCAATGAAGTTGGGAATAGTGTGCGAATGGAGAAGGAGGGATTTGTGAGAAGTCTGAGCACACTTTTGGAGAGGGGGGTCGATGTGCAGCAAGTCGTGACTGACCGCCACACAGGAGTGCAGAAGTATTTGAGGGAGGAAAAAAAGGAAATCAGTCACTACTTTGACCCCTGGCACATGGGAAAAGGTAATCTTTGGGGATGTATATAGTGAATATTACAGGATTTTTTTTTCTATTTTAAATGTGGGTCTATTTGGCTCTCCAGGAATTGGTAAGAAAATCGAAGAGCTGGGGAAGAGAAAGACGACCCAGGATGTGAGACTGTGGAAGCAAAGTGTGGTGAACCACCTCTACTGGTCAGCATCCAGTTCCTCCTCAGGACAGGAGGCAGTTGCAAAGTGGACTTCAGTTGCCAACCACATCCAAAATGTGCACAGCCATGACAACGCCCTGTTCCCTAGCTGTCTGCATGCACCTCTGGATGGAGAACAGGCAAGACAGTGGCTCAAACCAAGTAAGTGTAGCATGTACTCATTACAGCTGAGCCTTTACTGTTTGGTTTATTTACATTTAAAACACGTCACCCCACAACAGAATATTTGTCTTCACCTCCTTCAACATGGAGAAATATTTTTTGAGCATGTGAGTAACAGACATCACATGTAGCTGCTAAGGTCACACACCACCATTTGGCCAACAGCAATTAATTACTAAGAATAAAATGCTGTGCAGAAATTTAAACACACGAGTGCGCCACACAACTCATGGTTTTAGGCAGAACAGCCATAATTGACATAATATGTACTAAAATGCCGTAAGTAATGACCACACCTGTCTACAGCACTATTAGTCACTCTTTCATACATTTGTCATCTAAAAATGTCAGCTATGGGTAACTTTTTCTCAATGAAATAATAGCAACATTCTAAAGTTGATCAAATTGTAATTTTTGTAATTAACATTTTCTACGCAGGCACAGCATCATGTGAGAAGCTCCACGGTTTGTGAAGGACGTAGAGAAGATAAGCCCTCAGTACCACACATCCACCTTGGAGGCTTTCCACAGTCTCATCGTCAGATTTACTCCAAAAAGTCAAGTCTTCTCCTTCAAAGGAATGCTGTCTAGGTAATGAATACAACAAATGTTCAAATTAATGCCTCTAATTGTTCAAATTTTAGCATGAAATGTAGAATTTTGCCTCAAATCTACATGGTTTGTTTATTTGATTATTTCAGATTACAAATTGCTGCAATGCACTATAATGAAAATGCAGCACGCTCACATGCAGCAACAGCAACTGGTGAGCTGAGATATGCTGTAGTGTACCCAAAGTACAAACGTGGAGACTACACAGTGAGAGCCCTGAAGACCAATCCAACCTCATGTATGTCAGATATTGTATGATAAAACCAAAATGATGGTCATGGAGAGCTATTGTAATACTGAAAACCCTTTTCCAGTATATGTGCACAAGCTTATGGACCTGCTGTTCGACTCTGTGGTGGTGGATCCTCTCCCATATCAGGAGTACTCGGACAAAATTACGGTTCCAGAACCGCTCTGTGCCCAGTTCCAAAGACCAGATAAACGGGATGCTGTGAGCAGGCACAGGTCCAGGTTTTAAAGTGCACGTCAGGTGAGCTACACAGGAGATTGTAATTATTAGTTAGTACTCTACTCTGTGTGGTTTCTCCTTTTCTCCTCCTCAGCCAGGCTGCACACCACTGTACGACAGAGGAGTTACCTGTCGTCATTATGGATCTTTATGCTCATCCACTCGTGACTCATGCTGTCCACCTCCCAGATGTCTATTGATCTCTACAACCTTTCTGCTCTGTGGCTCCCATACAACTTGAAAATCTTGGCCGTATGTAACATAGCAAAACTCACCAGTCTTGCTTTTGTAAGTCATACTAGTCATACTAATATTACTTTTTCCTTAGAGCCTCCTGATCTTGTAACAGAAAAACCTGTGCTCCCGGGATCCATCTCCACGTTTGTCATCACAGTGAAAGCTACCTCCAGTCTAAGGAACCTATGAAACATCACTGTTGGCCCAACCTCTCCTCACATGGCTCCAGAATCTCTGCTTGTGGTTTAGAGTTTTGTCAAAAATCTTGAAAGTTATGATCAGATTGTTATCTAACATTGTCTTAGTAGTAGCTATAATAAATGTTATCTTTAAAGCGCAATTGTGTCTTTTTAAATACAATTATATTGATATTTTGATGTGTATAAATACATATATCACATTTATTATCATTCATTTTTACCTAATTGAACCTGCTCTAGAATAGACTTCATTAATCACACAGGGTGTAAACTCACTTGTTACAGCAGCATTAATTAACCCCGAATTAGAACCTTACTGTTGTAAGAGCTCATTTGAAAGTATGTGGCTATATGTGTGTATATATAAATAATGTCAAAGTGTAAAGAAGTGCATTTACCGTTTTGTGATTTATGCAGCTTTTTATGGACAGGAATCAATACAGGAAATATATATTATAACATTTATTTAATCAAAAAAATATATATTAGTTCAGAGGAGGGAGGAATCCTTTGTATGCACCGTCTTCTGGGAACTCCTGCCTTATTCTGGAGACAGTGCATGACGGGATCACAACACGAACGTGCTGTCCCAGGTAACCCCAACACCACCTGACCACATTCCGGTACGCCAGATGTCTGTAACAGCTGAGAAAGAGGTGGTATGAGTTATAAAGTATTCTTAAAAAAAGTAATTTGACAGTTGTCTTACCTGTTGAGCGTAGTCTCCTGCATCTCCCCATAGAGTTGCAGAAAGGTGCCATAAACTGCCTGCAACACGTAGGGATTAATATTAATATTAATACAAATGTTTTCTGTATGAATAGTTGCTGTGGTTACAGGAACCGTGCTCTGTGATTTGTTGACGGTTTCTTTTGTTTTGAGCGCTCTCTTGTGGCCGTCCTGGCTCCTGATCCTGGATGGTTCACACAGAACAAACTACGTTTTGAGATGACTAACAAAACTCCTCCCCCTGAGGGTCTTTCTGTCCGGGACCACACGCGGGTGGTTTTGGTCTCATTCCTGAAGGCTGTCAGGACTAGAATCATGACTTCCTCCAGTTTATTCAGGTTTTCACTGACAAAGATGGACTCATTCAGTCTTCTCTCAGGCTGTTGGTTTTCTTCTGCCGTCCTCAGACGAGTGTCCCAAATCCTTCAGGTGGAGCTCTTGAGCTGATGGTTCTGGACTGGTTGACTGGTTTCTCCCCCACACAAAGCTCCGAGCCTGCCATGCTGCTCTGAACTGCCTACATGAAACTACCACCCAGCTTCTGTTTGGGTGGTTGGTCCTTCAGATGAACCCGTTACGTGGAGAACCCATGGCACGTCAGGGGTACGGGCTGGGTGTGTCGTTCAGGGTTGGATCCATCAGGAAACCTGCAGGAAGACGATTCCCAGACGAGCAAACCAGTGCCATGGGAGCATACTTTCCCATGGCGGTGCTGTGATCAGCCACACACATGGACGTAATTTTGGGAGGAGACAGGGGGGACATGTCCCCCCCACTTTTTCCAAAGTCAAGTTTTGACCCTTGCACTTTTTACCATCCAAAAACAATATTACGCTATATTAAAATGACACTGGTTGAGCTCTAGGACCAAGCGGAAAACAACCGTTTGTGTTGAAGCCTGTTTCCCATTAGAGCATACTGTAAAGATAACACCCCCCCCCCCCCCCGTGTCCCCCCCACTTCTAAAGTGAAAATTACGTCCATGGCCACACACACGTTTAACATGTTTATATAGGTATATGTAGTAGCTTTGTATAGCAGCGTATTGCCACCAGAATCCACACCCTGCAGCACCCCACCCCTTCACACACGAGAAGGAAGTGACAGATGCTGCGCAGGCTCTTCACACATCTGGCATCTAAATGTTTCTCAGCACCACACTCTTCAAGAACATCTCCTTAAATGTAACTTGGAAAACAAAAAGCTGAATGGAACATTCACTCTGACACGTGTACAGTATGTAAACGTGAACACAAGCCATCATCTTCGCCACACAGGGTGAACAAAGAGCAATAAACAGAGTCTGTCGTACTTTTATGATGACACACAAGTGTTCCTGTGCTCCGGGTTGGCGCTGATGAAGCGCTGCGTCATGTCCACTCTCCAGCTGTCCCACATTATCTCCATGCAGGTGCATTCGAGGTGTGCAAGCCTCGCCGTTCTGTTAAATTCCCGTCTGTTTCTACGTAAATGCCCGGTCGTAAGGTGAACCCTGGTGTCGTGTGATTCCGTTCCGACCTCTGTGATATACGTACCGTGTGCTTCATAAAATAGTTCCTTCACATTCGACTGAAATGCGAAATATCTTCCTTTTACGGTCGTGCTTTAAAGCGGGAGTAGTTGGTTATGGGCATGATGAGAAATTAGTGAATTGTTGGTCATGTGATCAGTTTGGACCAATGTGGCAGCCATATTTAGTTAACAAATATTCAACATGGCTGTCTACTCAGGACTCGAAAGCAGTGACTCTGAGTTAAATCTCCCAGAAACATCCGAGTAGACACAAAACGGATTCCAGACAACGGACCGGCTATTCGAGCCCCACAACAAGTCAAGAAGCGACAAGACAATCAGGTGAACTACGGATGAGTACCTTTATTTATGTGTACAACATAGCTAAGTGTGTGTGTGTGACGTAGAAAATACAACCAAATATGAATAATTCCATGTGTAATTGTGTTCAATTCAGCTCAGAACTAAATCTAAATTCAACATGCACGTTTGGGGGGGGGGGGGGGGGGGGGTTGCTTCACCACCCCTAGGTCCCACGGCTTTGAACCACTCAGTAAAAAATTCACAAAGCCTATTTTATTGGTGCAGGAGTTTCTCCTGCTGTCTCCTCCGTCTCATAAGATCGTCAAAGCAGCCGGAGCGCCGACCCTCTGATGGATTCAGCGGGATGGTTAGGGTCAGGGTGGCAAGGCTGGGATCGTGGAAAAGTCTCCCGGTGAATGTTGGAGCAGCTCGGACTCTGAGTAACGTTACACAATGCTAAAGACACATTTCTATGACCACGCATGTTTAACTGCTTCTTCTTCCGTTTTTATTTGTTGTGTTTTCATATTTGTCCTCCTTGGGAAACACTTTGTTCAGGAACTGCTGTTGTGGATTTTCTTGCCCTTCCGCTACAACCACAGCAGGAGGAAGCGAGACAGACCCCTCCAGGTCCTCATGGAGGAGGAGGAACAAAGATCCCTCGGATCTGACCTGATGACCTGGTCCTTGATAAATACGTAGGGTTCTTTAGCTCTACTGAAATGTTTTTATTTCATACACTTTTTACATTTCTGTTGCTCATTCCTGAACGGAACTGAGGAGAGGAAGAGTCGGACTTTTCCAGATATGTCTACCAACTCTTTTGGTGGGGCACCAGTTAACCTCATGGGTTGGCTTTGCTGGTATTCCCCTGAAACACAAATGCTGCAACCGTCAGGAGACAATAAATGTTCCTGAGATTTGTGTTCCTTAACTATGTTTTGTGAGAGAAACGTAAAACGCCGGACATTTTGGCAAGATCTGAACTGCTCTTAACCATCTCTTGGTAAGAAAATAAATTTTTGTTTCTTTTGGAAAGATACGTGACGTTTACTTAACTCTATTTTCTGAAACCTGGCGGGTTCATCAACCAAAGTTCTGTATGTTCATATCTGCTCATAATAAAATATTTGTTCTGGTCGTGCATTTTCACTCTATTCAGCATTGATTTTAGAGTTGAATGTTGAAAAGTGTTTGAAGAGACTAAAAAGGTAAACGGTAAAATAAAGATCTGAAAAATGTACGACAAGAAATGGAGGCATAGTGTTACTGGATTCAATTCAATCAAAAAAAAACTTTAATCATCCCCGAGGGGCAATTGTTTCAGTACAGAAGAATTGGTGCTGTGGTCATTCGCAACAAGAGTCGCGCTACCGTTAATAAGATGAAAATGGGATTACAAGAGGATAAATTGGGGGAGGGAAACAAAAGGCATACCAGAGTTACTCCCGGCAGGGCGTAGCTTTACTATGCAAAAAAAAAAAAAAAACGCCTCGAACATATAAGCACAAACATCAACAATTCACAACATGAGACACCGAGGGGGGGGGCTGGCATCCTGCTTCCCCAGCGAGAGCATCCCCATGGCGCTCAGCCACTGTAGCCACAGGTGGGAGGGAGATCTTGGGAGGAGCGCAGAGCACATTGACACCTGCAGGTTGATGACCTCGCCAGGCTGAAGTCCACCAATCCGAAGGCGGGGCGGGGGGGTAGGTCGGGTTTTCACAGCATCTGTCTGCATTCCTTCGTGGGGGTTTGTTGTTGGCATTCACAAGGCTGCCATGGCGTCAGATTCGGAAAGTTTATTACTTCTGCAGGAAAAGGTCATGAATCAACTGAGAGGTCATGGCTAATTTAAATGAAAACATGTTTCATCGTTGTTTTTTACTTTCTACATGAGAGTGGACGTCCACAGATTGTCAGACTGAACAAAATGTTGAAACAATTCTGGAGACGAAAAATGCTAAACTGCTTATGAGGGACAGTCGGTACATAAAATGTGGGGAGAAAGAATTCTTTTTCTGATTCCCAGATTCCAAATTATAGTTGAAATGTGGAGAAAAAAGGACAGAAAGCCAAGGGAAAGCATCTAAAGACTAGTACAGGATTAGTCAACCTTCTCAGTGGCCTAGTGTTCACCCTGGTACTGGGTTATCGTGGGTCAAATCCAGAGCCGGATTAAATAAATGGACTACACTAGGCAGGCTGCATTTTATGCCCCCCCCCCCCCACCCCCCTCCATCGATGTTATTTAATGAATTGAAATCTGAAACTTACCAAAGTTACTTATAAAAGTTCATTCACATTTTACGTAGCCTAGTCGTTGGTTACAAATTGGTTGTTTGTATGTAAAACATTCTATCAGACAATTTTTGATATGAATTATACGTCATTACACAGCTGTGTTAAATGCTAATAAATGATCCTCATCTTATCCATTGGGAGTGCCAATGTCAAGGCGGTACCAGTAAATAACCACTAGGTGTCATTATACTCTGTAAACAGAGCAAATATATTCATCTTATTTGCTCTGTTTACATTTAATCAACACATTTAATTAAAAAGATTTTCTGCTAAATACAATAGCTTACAACATTTATAAATGATGACAAATTAATCCCATGATGGTGGAAAGACATTCAAGAAGAAATAGATTCATTTGAATGGACTGAAGCATGTTTTAAAGGCGCAAAAACCAACTATAAACACGCAGCTTAAATGATTACAGTATAAATTTTATACAATCTATAATCTTAAAAGAAAGTATTTTAATAAAATGAAAACGTTATCTTAAGTTTTGATCTTGCTTTATGCTCATTCAGGCTGTTGTTGCCTCTGCTGAATCAGAAATTCTGTGTCTATTTTCTGAGTGTGAACTTATTGTTATTTTGTTATTTGAACATTAATAAAAATATTTAAAAATAAAAATGAATAAAACCAGCAACAGTTACCAAGGAAACCATTTAGCTCGCTCCACTCCGGGATAATCTTCAGCCTTCCAGCATCACAGGCCTCAGTCGCAGCAGAAACACGTCTAAAGAAATGCTCCTTGGTTAAGCTTCGGTTCGTGTCTCCACATTTCCTCTGTGATGCAGAGAAATATGCAATATTTTGAGAGGGATGCTTTAGTGCAAAGTACTCACGCATCCTGTCATCAGTTTGGTTACCTGTAGTTTAGCTGGTTCCCTCTCAGCTCCTCTTGCCTCACAATTACCCTCTGGTGGAGGATCCTCCCACTGAACATCTTGTAGCGGATGCCAGAGTTGGGCTCATTTCTGAAAACAAAAACAAGACAGAAAAAACATTGATTGCTTAATCAAACACACAATGTTTCATTATGAATATAAAATCATAATAATAAGTACTCCAAATGTATATCTGCTCCAGAAGCTGGTGTACTGACAGCTTCTGGATGATCTCGCCTCCAAAGACACAATCTTTGTCTTTCATTTGCAACAAGATGTCATCTTGCTTCAGCTCAGCAGCTTTCTGTTTTCTGCAACTGGCCTTCAGTTGAAAAATTACAATTCAGTTAATGAAGGAGAAAGTTGAGAGTGTGTGTGTTTGCCTATATGAATTTGAGCTTAAGTATCATCAGCCCCTGAAATCCCAAACATTGAATAAGCCTATATTTAGTCAGGTGACAGTAGATACCATTCCATATCATACCAATTAATTTGTAAAGTTTGTTAAATAATTATTATGTAAATGTACAGTATTTAAAAAAATAATGATTGACTTCAAAAATGTAGAAAATATTCCATTAATTCGACAGATCAATTACGTTTTTCCATTTAAATAACTAATTTCACAAACTTGCATTGTTTTATTCTCAGTTAGCTGACATATTTTGACTGGTGGTTAACTGAACATTTTACAATGTAGATAAAAACAAATGTATTTAATAATATAATGTGTTGGCAATTTTAATTCAAGTCGAAGCATTCGATATAAAACAGGTGCGTAAACTCTCATTACCTTTCTCCTCAATGTTCATCTATGAAAGATGGAGCATTTAATAACATGCGCCTCCATCGTTTTATGTTCCTTGTGTATTTAGCATTAACACTCACAAGATGGTAGTGAAGGACCTCCAGCCTCTGCCCTTCGTGGAGACTCATGATTTTCAGCTGTTGGTGAGGGTTATTGACGCAAAATATAAACTTCCCAGCAGAAGCAAACTCACAGAGACCCATATCTCTACAAAGTCAAAGTTAAAATCTACATATGTCACTTGAAGGTCGAGCAAAAGCCAGGTTGAACAGTTTTCAGCTGCTTTTTGAAGGAGTCCACTAATAACTGTTAATGAAAAGATAGAAAAAGTCGGCCTGAGTTTGTTTTAGTCGGAGGTAGAAGGTCTGCAGGTGCGTGAGTTCCTCTGACTTACACTTTCACTTCTGAAGTTACACATGTCCACTTCTCTGTTGCTACCCGACTCGCGCGCGCTCACACACACACACACACACACACACACACACACAATAACCACGGATTAAAACGTAAACAAAAGGCTCGTCCAGGTCACGTGATGCGGAAACAACAACCCCGCTGATGCAAACAGCTGCTACTTGCAGTTCCACCACTCCCCCCCTCCCCCCCCCCCGCCACGCACGTGCGCGGACGTACGTACGTAAGCGTGACGTCTTCAAAGAGCTATCGCATTACTTTGTTGCGTCATCAGGAAAAAGACCTCAGTCTGTTAAGGTCGTTGTACGAAATGGATTACATCGCAGCTCTCTACAGGAACCGCTTACCACTGCTTAAGTCATCAGGTAAAACGCCTCGTGAGCTGAATCTTACAGAGTTGAAGTTTAAATTAGACCAGACTAAGGCCAACGAGATGTTACTCTTAGCCAAAGTCAATGAACTGACATCAGAAGTTAAGAATTTACAAGAAGTTTTCTCTGAAAAAGAAACTGGGTGGAAAAACCAGTTGGACGATTTAACAAAGAAAAATACCAGATTTCAAAGGGAAGTAAGAAAGCAGACAAGTCAGCGGTCTAATGCAATGCTTCGGCTGACAGAGAGTACGGCAAAACTAGAAGAAACCGAGAAATGCCTGGAGTCCTTGAAGAAGGAATACAAACATGTCAAACAAAGGCTTGAAAAAGACTTGGAAAAGCAAACGTCAATCCAAAAGTCCATTGAGGAAAAACTAAACAATTCAGTGCAAACAAACACTGAATTAAAATTACAAAACGAAGAGTTTTCTAAAGAAAATGAAAAACTTCAAGCTTTAAATGAGTCGTTATCAAAAGAAAATGATACATTGAAACGTTCACTGGATGACGAAATAATTAGAAGAACAGACTTGAAAAAGAAATTTGAAAACTTAAAAGCTGAACATGAAGAAGTGGAAACGACCATCAGGACAAAGGTTGAAGTTCCGTTAAAAAATAAGATTAAAGAATTAATGGGCCACATCGACCAACTGAAAGCTGATGCTAAAAAAAAGTCTACATATGTAACACGTTTAGAAGCAGATAAGAAAACGTTACTATCAATAAAGACACAGCTGAAAAAGAAAAATGATGAGTGGCCAGAGAAATACTTTGAAATTACTCAGGAAAAGGAAAAGCTTGCTAAAGAATTAGAATACACACGCATTCTTCTTGACAAAAATGCCAAAGATATCCAAAATCTAAATTTTAAATTACGCAATGCTGTCAGTAAACGATGTGATGTTGAACGAGAGAAAAAGGAACAAATTGAACTGAAGGATAGCAAAATAAAGAAATGGAAGACGAGAGCAAAACTCCAACTAAATGAAACCGCACTTTCTGAAAGTCTAAAAACTGAATATGGAAATAATCTGTTTAAAGCTCAGGATCAAATTCACTGTTTGGAACAGAAGATTAGTGTACTTACAGATGCCAACGCACTGCTTTCAACAGAGAAAGAGTCTTTAGTCAAGGCGACATCGTCCCTGTCTTGCCAGCTGAAGGAAGTTAAGATGCAGTTAGAAAACACAGAGCAGCAACTGTCGTCAGCTCGGAATAAAGATGCCCAACAGTCAAGCATCTTAGCAACTAAAGAAATGGAGAATGAGCAAATTACCAAGGAGCTTGAAATAACAGCGACAGAACTACAGAACGCAAAAGACGAAATTAGCGATTTAACAAAGAAAACTCAGGAACTTGAATCTGAAATCAAACTGTTACCCAGAGAGAAAATGGAAGTTCAGGGAAAACTTGACCAGCTAGCTGAAGAATTCTCTAAAAATGGCTTGAAATCAGTAGCAATGCACGTGAAAACGCTGCTAAATGGTATGAATGAAAAAGGCAAGAATAAATATACTGTTGGTCGTTTAAACCTGGAGTTAGAAAGCAAGAATTTTATGAAAAAGATCACGGAACAGAAGGCAGAAATTGAGGAACTGAGAGGCAAATTGCATAAAGCTATGGCTGCTCAGAGTAGAAATCTGTTGGCTAAGAGGAGAATCATTGATCTCAACAGGTCCTCATCTTCACATGAGGTAGTTATTAAACTGAATAATGACAAGTCATTTACAGGTCAGAGGACAAATATGGTTCAATTGAAGAAGCCCTGCGTGTTTCCATCTATTGGTGTAGAGGGCAGAACCGTCTGTGGAGCAAACTTAGACGATGGTTTCTGGATGGGAGTTACTGAGGATGCACAGTACCCCCTCCCTCCTCCTTAGAGCACTCAAAGACACAGAAAAGATTGTGGATGCATGATGGAAAGATTGACACTTTAGTCTTGCAGTGAGGTTCCTAGTTCAAATCCTGGCAGGAACCTTGCTTGGTAGCATCTTGTCCTTCAAGTATGCGTGGGTTTACTCCAGGCGCTCTGGTTTAAACAGAGCATCAGTCTTCAACAAACTAACTTCTATAGCGCCTCTCAAGATAAAAATCACGAGGCGCTTCACAAAAACAAAAAATGTAAAAATATAAAAAAGCATTTAGAAAGTGTTTAAAAATATATTTAAAATGGGCAAAAATAGGTAATTGGGATTTAAATGACTCGCCATCTCCCCCACCTGGAAGCAAGCTCAGAGATGGTTTGTTGCAGAAGAACATTCACCCCGGCTCATGACATCCGCGGACGTTAATGTGGTTCGAATGGCAGCATGCACACCCAAAAATTATACATCAAAACAAGCAGCTCGTCGGTGGGAGGTAGGCTGTAACTTTTGTACACAATTTGATTTACCACGGCAAAGTTATTAGCAAAAAACTTCGGAAAATGTCTGAAATTTGGGCAGATTGAGTTATCCTTTCAAACGTTGAGTGTGTGGCTTTTTTAGATTTGCGTTAGCACTGTCTTGTGCCAGGTGGCAGGACCCTTTTTATTATGTTTTCAGGAATTGTCTAGTTTTTCTTATGCAGCTCGAACGACAGCATGCACCCCTAAAATTACACATTAAAACAGCCCGCTCAGCCGTGGGAGGTGTGGCATATTATTATGGGTAGATTACCCAAGCTGGACCTGTTTAGACTTAAGAAAATCACTTTTTTCACTTTCTTCCTCATCGTATTGAAAATGAATCCAAATTCAATTCAATTCAAAGATACTTTATTAATCCCAGAGGGAAATTAGAGTTTCAGTACACACAATCTGAGGTCAAACATACATACATAGGCATAGATACATGACAAGAATTGGTGACTGTGGTCATTTGCAACCCGAGTCGCGCTACCCTAATAGAGATCAGAGGGGTTTCTATATGAGGATTGAGACAGGTGGAGGAAAAAAAGGCACGTCAGAGTTACCCTCCACAGGGAGGGCAGCTTTGCTATGCAAAAAACACCTCAGACAGAAATGCAACAGACTTCAGACATTACACAACATAAGTGTCCAACATAAGTGTTACGCATCATAACAAATGCTCAAAAAGTGAAAGAATAGCAGTAAAATCCTCTAAGCTTCACAGCACCAGAAACAGAAAAGCAAAAAGTCCAAAAAATACCGTTTTTCTTGAGAAACTAGAAGAAAAAATGTCCAAAAAAAGGCAAAACTTACATATAGTCAGCAGAGCTACTCCAACATGCAGCCACCCAGAGCAGCGCAGTTCCACTTTCAGATTCAAATTTCATTACTGTCCTATAATCAATTTCCTTTTCTTTACAACTCAAAAGGTTGCCAGTTATGAGTTGTAAAGGTGAATGTAAAGGTGAACTATTTCTTCATGTTTAACAACAGCAAAGGTGTACAGGCTTTTATTTTGACAGCGTCATATGTATGTCGATGGTAGGGAGGCGCAACACAGTAGAAGCAAACGTAAATCTATTAGAAGTAAAGACGGAGCAAAGGGTAGACTATTAACAGTTCACAGAGAAGAAGACACAGAAAGTTTGAAGAATACTTCTGTCTAGCTTCAGTTGATAAGGGGAACAAGGTTTGTAACTATAATTCAGAATGTTGTTATGAAAACGGAACGTGTATGGGTACCTATATGATTGTATTAGTTGTGAAAAAGGCTACCAGTGTAATCAATTATGCATTATGGTTTAGTTTATGATGAAAATGTTTTATTTAAAATTTCTCTGTAGTTCAAGGTAAAGTGTTTTAAGAAAACTGCTAAAAAGAAGATCTTGTTATTAAGTACACTGGCAGGTAAATGCATCTGGTTGGCTCAGTATCACATAGTTTCTCTTGTGTTAGAGATTTTTATTATTGTGAGTTCATATTTTTATGCTTTATTAGGGAAAACACCCTGATGGCTGTAACGGCAGTATGATTTAGAGAAGTGGAGAAACAGTTAAACATTCCTACATATCACCCTGTATTGATGAAGCACTACTGTCAAAATCTTGATCTAACAGTGTGGAAATTCCTCATTAAATTCCTGTTTTACCACAGATTTTGGGTCAGCTACTTCTGTTTTATCTGTTAGGTTAAGTAAAGGGAGCTGCCGTGTTTGTTTTCAGAATTAGCTCCACCCACAAAGATTTATGGGTGAGGTTGACAGAAAGAAATATTTATGAACAGACCATGAAATAATGAATTCAATCATGAAATAATTACATATGTTTTTTTAATGAATAAAATATTTGTACTGACACAATCCATACATTTTATTTTTTAATAATTTTTTATATATTTTGGGCTTTATCTTTTTATTGAATTGTACCACTTTTGCCCCTCCAGTTGAATCATATTTAATTTCTTTATATTTGATCTTAAAAACAAACAATCTTATAATTATATAGATGATTCAGGGATTATAAAATTTAGAGTACATTACATTCATAGACAGAAGCTGGTTTATTTCATTTCATATGTATTTAGTGTCATGTTCTGTGTCCCTTTGTTCCCCAACCCCTCCAGTTCCCACTCCAGGCTCTCCTTTTGTGTCTTATAGCGCCCTCATGTGTCCTTTGTCCGCATCTCATTTATGTGTCTCCTGTGTTCATTTAGTTATCCTCTGCCCTCCCCCAGAGGGTGACAGTGTTTGGTTCTCCTGAATCTAAGTGCTGCTTTCGATATTGTAGACCACACTATTCTTTTAACTTGTTTAAAACAGATCGGCCTCTCTGGTGCCGTTCACAGATGGTTCACATCTTACCTCACAGGCAGGACTTTTATGGGGAGTCTAGATACCTGTTCCTCCAGGGTCCATGGGATTGCATGTGGTGTGCCCCAGGGTTCAATTTTAAGCCCAGTGCTTTTTAACCTCTATATACCACCTCTTGGAGGTGTCATCAGGCACCCTGTGACGGTGTCCTGGCTGCTGCCGTGGATCTGCTGCTTTTGGTGCAGACGGCTCCCCCTGATGGTGTTTCCCTTCGTTTCCTTACGTACCTAACTCATCTGACCTCAGCCCACTGTTTACTTTTTTTCTCAATTGTGTTGTGTGTGTATGTGCGTGTCCCTGGGTTGGGGGGAGGGGTGGTTTAATTGTCAATGACATTTGTGGGATATGTGGGGTCTTTTTAATCTGTAAAGCACTTACAGTTACATTTTCTGTATGAAAAGTGCTTTATAAATAAAGTTTGACTTGATTTGATGAGGGGCCACAGGCCTGCCCTCAAAGACCTGCGGAAGACAGAGGAGATCCAAGCCCAAGTTTGGCTCAGCTGTTTGTTTGCTTCCACTGAATTTCAGACTAAAAGACCTTTTCCAGATAAGTGATTATGTACAATCTGTTTTACATGAATGAATGAACTTGTTTTAGATGAATCAGTTGCACTTTTACTGGACAAGGTGGAGTAGTTGTTCTAAAGTTCCTATTATTTGAATCCATTTGGGTCATAATTTCCTTCGTTGAAAATGACAGCAGCAGTAACTAAAGCTATAACGTCCTTGTGGTCATTTCAACACGGTAAATAATGTCTTTTCTGAAAGTCTAACTGTAAGAATGAAGTGGATGAGCACAGCTGGAATAGACTTAGTGCTTCTATAACCCTGAACAGGGTTTGACAAACAAAACATGTAGAGCATTAGCGTCGCTCTCATTTTCACTGAGGCCACAAACGCATCATGACCGCCCTCAAAGGGCTGGTTTTATCTGGAGGTCTGAATAAGTGCCATGGTGTTTTTGATAAATAACAGTCTCTGAGTATTACCTATTCTACTAACATATACCCACAATCAAATCATACTTTCTAACTTTTCAAGCAAAGAACAAAAAAAACAACTAAAATAAATGCCATCTTAAATGTCAACATAGGAAATAAACATAAGTTATTAGATTAACACTTAGTCACTGTTTGGAGAAAAGGCTCTCAATAGGTCATCTGGTTCTGCCCCAAAAATATTCTAATGAACCCTCCTGCACATTTTTACACTTCTTAGTTTCTCATTTGCTGCACTCTGGTGCATTTTTTTAACAGGTTGTTAAAGAGCAAGTCACCCCTTACAACAGAGTTTCTCAACGGGGGCTGTAGCGCCCCCCAGTGGGCGTTCAGACTATATAAGGGGGCGTTGAAAGTTTTTTGCCACCGAAGGGGGCGCTGAGATGCTAATGGTGGGCGCTAGCGATACAGGACATTCATAACAGACAATGGCTCAGAATAAAAAGAAGTGCTGACAGTACAATGTGGACTACCTTCGGTATGGATTTAGTCCTTCACCCACGAATCCACAACTCCCCATGTGCCTGCTTTGTGAACAAGTTTTTTGAAACGAAGCAATGAAACCCTCCCGGCTTAAGGAGCACTTGTCCAAAATACATCCAGACAAAGCTTCAAAGGAACTGAACTACTTTCAGGTAATTAAAGAGAGACACTCTAAGAGAGGTAGCATTAGCAGAATGTTTGCTCGAAGCATGATTTTACTGGACCGAGGACTATCGCTTCCTACAATATCTCGTTGTTAATACCTAAAACCACTTTTTTATGATACTTTTTTAATGACATATTTGTATGAAACTGTTTCAAACTCAAGGTTGAATTGTATATATATATATATTTTTTTATTATGATTTATGTATCAAAAACCTTTCTGTTTCTCTGCATGGGACATTGGTGGGCAGTAAGGGATTTCAGCATGACTTGGGGGGGGGCATTTAGCTGAAAAAGGTTGAGAAACCCTGCCTTACAAGAAGCGTACTTCACTCCCACTTCATGTTTGAAAAATGCAACAAATGCTGTTTCCTAGCAGACCGAGAGGGTGGAGCCACTAACAAATACACACACTCATGACATCGTGACATCATAATGTACCAGTTTACATCATAGCATACCTCTTAGCCAATAGCGGTGGCAGATTTAAATTCAAATGCAGTGAAGAGTTTTTACCTGACAACGGCACAACACTGCCAGTTTCAGGCAGAAAATTTAAATTTTAACTAAAATGCACTAAAGTGCAAAACTATTGACTACACGTGTCTGCAGCACGATTAGACACGCATTTATATAGTTTATCAGGAAAAAATAGTTGATTTGGGGGTGACTTGCTCTTTAAATAAAACTTAGATTATTATTTTTCAGGTAATAACTAAAATAACTGACCTTTGAAAAATTAAAAGTGTGGAAGACTCGTTGAAGCAATGCATTTGCAATGGTTTCATAAGAACGAATGCCTTGTAAGTCATACTTGGGGGGAAAAGCTCAGGTGCACCACTTTCAGGAACTAGTAGTGAGCCACATTAGAGCTGAGCTTCAGACAGCATCTTATTTCCAGATGTTTGGACATCTAGGCAGTGGAACTCTACCACTGGCTCTGGTTGCTTTGACACATTCAGGTTTTATCTCCACAAATAACACAAGCCTCCCGAAGGAGTTCTGCTGTGTGCTGGAGTAGCTAATGCTAATGGTTAGCATTAACTGATCAACTAGTCAAGACATTCTCTGCTGTTTCCTGGACACTAAACCAACAACAGCGCCATGAATGTTTAATGACAGCGTGACATAGATCTGTCAGGATTTTCTAAACCTAGAGTTTCTCCATCTATTTTCTATTGGAAGCTAATGCAGGAGATAGGTGTGGGAGACAATTTTCTTGTTCATTCTGTATGAGAAACAGAAACAAAAAATAATCATTAAAAATGGTTTGTCAGAAAACCACATCTTTAAAGAAGCATCACTGAAATGTCATGGTCTGCATCTCCCTCATGTGTCTCCTGGTGTTCTCCATCCCCCTCTAGGATCCCCTTATGTGTCTCCTTGTGTTCCTCATGTGTCCCCTTGTCTACAGCCCCCTCCAGGTTTCTCCCTCCAGGTGTCCCCTCGGGTTCTGTGTCCCTTATTCCCCAACCCACTCCAGGTTCTCCCCTTAAGCTTCCTGTGCCCCTTCTTGCCTCCAGCTCCCACCAGGTCTCCCAGGTTCACCTATTCTTGTTTTCTTGTATTATCTAACTAGTTTTTTCCTATAGTTCTCATAGGTTCAGGTTTTCTTCTCCTAGGTTCCTTGGTCCTTCCCCGCTGGTTTATCAGTTCTCCTTAGATCTTTATTTTGTTCTCCCAGTCTTTAGGTTTTGGTTATTATTCATAGGTCATGTTTATTTTACCTTCTCAGCTTAGTTTCCTCTCCCTGATTAGTTAATTGATTTCACTAGGTTCTCTCTCCTCACGCACCTGCATCTCATCTCCCATTCATCCCGCCCCTGTGTATATAACCTTGTCTGTGTCTCTCTGTTGTTGGTCCATTGCTCTCTAGGTCTCTCGTGGTTTTTTTTATTTCTCTACGTTTTGATAATAGGATTTTTGGACTTTGGTTTTTGGCTCCCTGCCTCCTTTGGATTTACTCCTTAATAAAGGATTTTACATTTTTTCCACCTCCTGTCTCGTGTCTCTGGTTCTGCATCTTGGGTCCTAAAATTCCTCCAAACCCACATCCTGACATGAAAATACATCAACATTAATAAATAACACAATAGGCATACTTTGTTATTTTGTTTGAACCCATTGGTCTCACACATCCACATACATATATGGACAACGGATTTCCATAGGCTCCAATAACACTTTTTTGAAGAAAAATGGGAGGTGGCCACAGCAGCGCGCCACCGTCTACAGTAGAGGATGGCGGTGTTTGAAACCCTCCCAGCGGGCCAGGGGAGCTCATTCCTGGATCGGAGCCGGCCCGCAGCAGCGCGCCACAGGCTGCAGCAGGTGATGGCGGGGCAGAGGAGCTGAAACTTGGGCCGGATCCAGTGTGCAACAGGCTCCAGCAGGTGATGGCTGTGTGTTTTTTATTCCCAGCGGGGCAGGGGAGCTCAATCCTGGTCCAGAGCCGGCCTGCAGAAGCGCAGTATAGCCTACATAATTTGGTATATAAGTCGCTACGGAGTATGTCGCAGGACCGGCCAGACTATGAAAAAAAAAGTGCGACTTATAGTCCGGAAAATACGGTAATTATCAGTATTTGAGATAAATTAGCAGGCTAAATACATTTCATATATTTCTAAAACGTAATACTTGTTTGTATCTTGTACAGCCAAGTAGCCTTTATTCTGGACTCAGTACAATTCACCAAAAGTAAAGAGACATTATACAGATGAAGTAAGCACAAGATAACTTACTGGAAGAAACAGAATTATTATCATGAGAACCAGAACAAGAGAGCCTGATAACAGTCATGTGAAAATAACAGTTAAAAAG